TGTTTCTTATCAAGTCCCTAAAGCGGAAGATATAATTACAGCATTTCACAAAGTGAAAGACCGTGCATAATCGAAGCACTAGCTAGCTATCGTACGCTTATGCTGAAAACAGTTGCGGCTGCACGTTCGTGCGCACGAGGACGGGCATTTCGTGCGGGCGGCCCGGGCAAGAATTTATCGAATGTGGCTGCCCATAAAGTACCGAGTGGATGACATTCCATATCAATAGAAATTGTGCGTCTGGCACTGAAATCCACGATAATGGAACAAAAAGAAAGTAAGAATGGCCTAGAGAAATATGAACAAGTGGGAAGAATGTCCACGTAATGGTGCTACTCTTTGATGGCACATGTACACTTGTCTTCCTTAAAAGCATCAATTGGCTTCACTCATACTCCTAAGTTCCCACGACCCTAAGCCTGGAAGTAATTATTGGTTATTTTGATATGTGAGTAGAATAGCATATGCAATAAGCAGGAAATGCTGACAGGTAAAAAATAATGGAGGTCGTGGTAAGCTATATGCTAGAACAGCGTAGACTATTTCTCGAATCGGGGCAAGTAATTTGTTTTAGAATGCAAGCTTTTCTTAGCTGCTGCATCAGATGGTGCTCATTTGCATGCAAAAGTAATAATGCATACTGAAAAAGAAAAAGAAGATAGCCAAAATAAAATCGACACAGCAGCACGCATCAACAGTAAAAATGTTGACAATGCCTGTTGATGGTCTGCATGGGCGAGAAACGAGTATTTTACGTGGGGGCATTATAAATGCGCCCCGTGACAGTGTATTATTAGGCACGCCAGAATGCAGGAGATACAGTGATTTCAAAGAGTTGTTCACAAATAATTGTGCGGCAGTATACAAGCGCATTCCCAAAACTAAGCATTGGGGTCACGGTGCCGGCCATGGCAAATATCATATTGGAGTCGTTTAACGAAAATAAGCAGTGAGAAACCCCTGAGCAAAGAAATATGCATGTAATAAGTTGACTTTATATTGGGGGCTTCCTTCGATCCGATGCTTAATAAGCAATACCATTGTTGCAGTAGAAAACAAACAGTAGAGATACTAAAAATTACGTTATGCCAAAGCAAAACTGTGTTTAATCGACAGTAAAAGACCCCTCCCTAATGCCTGCGCCCCGCCCACTCCCCCGCGGCCCCCCCTGAAAGCAATTTTATTAGCGCATGCACTAATTATCATGAATCACAGGGCTGCAATCACCCAAGTAAACGGACAAAGCCGTTCACATCTCCCTCGCGCGATATGTTCAAACTTCTTTTTTTGTCCATTCCCCCCCCCCCCCCCCCCCACCTGGGGCTGTGTGCCCCACACCCTGATCCCCATAGTTGCTTTTGCGGATGACAGAGCTCAGTGCTAATGGAAGCGGAACCAGCAGCTTGAAAACGCAGTGTAGGGATGATACTGCGGTACTGAAGTCAGGTCGCCGTGGCGAGGCTATGTAGCAGCATGGTCGCGGCTGTACGAATGCAAAAGCATTATCGTCAATTTTTCATATTATGCAGAGCAGTTATTCATCAATCACAATGCCACTGAGGCACACCATTAATGAGAATGCCCAGTGCAACAACCTGAGATTCCATCAGAATGTCTTGCAGACCTAACACATCCAAAGCGTATTCAATTCAATTCAATATAAAGAGCATGCCGGTGTGGAAAGGCTCACAACACACAGTATGAGAATCACCGACGTGAGATGTCATGCAGTTTGCGCAGTGATCGTTTACATATATGTCCGTATAGAGTATACTAGGCATACAGTATAGAATGCCTTGTCAAAAACTTACAGCATGCGTTTCACTGCCAAGATTTTGTCAGCGACTGTATAAAACATTGGTGTAGCATGCTTGAGTGTTATTTGTGAAAGGAAGCCACAAGGTTTTTATAACGGAGAACTACCTCGGTCCCTGCCAAACTGATGTGATATGTAGCTGTATACATACGCAGCAATTTAATGTTACTATGATCGAGGCACTATTGGTCAGAACCGAAACTGAATGGCTACAACCAGCCACGTCAGCAAAACAGCTAAATAGGAAAGTAGTAGCTGTAGCAAGCATAGAAAAATTATACTATTTAGTATTATAGTTCATCCATTTCTAAAACGCGCTCACCTGCACAATTTACGGTGACTGTGTGTGTTTACAAATTATCAGCTAATGGCATACGTGATGTTGGTATTTACAAATTATCAGCTATTATATGGCAATACGGTGATATCACTAGCCGCAAAAACTAAACCAGGCCACAAGACTAACTGTAAATATGCAAGGCAGGCAAACATAGGGGGATACACTGCCAATTGTATATTGGTTAATCATGTGCCTGCCAACAGTGTGGCTCATTTTTGGGGGTTTAGATAATCAGCGTACACTGACACAAGCATTCAACAGGGCAGATACAAAACAGCAAGCCGCAGCAAACTGATAGCCGATAAGAAAATTACACCGAGAACAAGAATTCCGCCCAGCATATGTAATAGTTGCCCCGTATCAATATCACAGACCTTTCATCATATAATCTAACACGAAATTTCTCCAAGAATAGCGTGACGTCATACACAGAGCCATTAATATATGAAAGATTCGCTGATATCGAAGCTACATTCATATGACGATGCGACGCGTCAGACGCAGACCGAGAACAAGCTGGTTGTAAAAGAGTATATATTACGCAGGTCAAGTAATCACCACAGTTGGCGATAAAGTAAGCTATAATTGCCTAACAGTAGAGGCTATTCTGCTCTCACATCTTCTTGGAATGCATGTGGCAATGGCGTTCTCCTGCCAGTGTGAGGTTCCTTGCTCCATTCAGTTCGCCACTTCTCCGTCAGGTTAGCCAATGCAAGAATTCTGATGCTGCGATGTCTAGCCATTATAAGTCATCACGGTGTCTTGCCCTTTGACGAATTTCCATCGAATGCATCATTCTAAACGCAACATAATTTCAACAATTGTATCTCGTCATGCATCATATTGTTTTTGGGCAGTTCAAGGCTCCATTTAAATTAACGATGAACCTATTTTCAATGCCAATGCAGTATACCGCACTACGGTTTCGGTCGACAGATGGCGGCGCATGCGCTTAAGGCCCCGTTGCAGAGCTTAAATTGGGCGACTGTGTTAGCTCATGCGACTCGCACGCTTGCGATTCTAGAATCGCGGGCAGCCGGAGGTCGCATGAGAAATCGCTAGGTCTGCGGAACGTGCGCTCTGCGATTCTGGTCGGCTTGCGGCGAGTGCGCAAGAAATCAGAACAGTTGATTTTCAGCAACCTCGTCGTCTCCGAAATCGGCTTCCAAATCCGCATGTGTGGGGGTAGGCAAGCACTTGAACCGATGACAAATTCTCATCTGACCAAATCAAGCGAGCAGCCCGATCCATCGTTCATATGTGATATTTCAATATGGCCTACGTCTCACGATTTGATTTGGTTTTGTTTCGGATCCACAGATCCGATCCAATGGATTCGTTATCGACTGTTTTTGGTGTCGGGATCACTTGATTCGTCGATCCACTGAACCCGACCCTGCTAGCGGAGGCGGATTCGAACAGATCGCAATATGGGCGGCCCGGCACCTCAGCCAATCACACTTGGTTCTTTCGTATGCAACCATCCGTGATAGGTCCAACGAAAACGTGAACGCGGAGAAAGTGAGTTTTAGCAGTGATTGGTTTGGTCGTGCCGTAGCCATGATTTGGCTAATAATTTGGCTAAGTAGCCTTAATAATTTTGAAATATTTAAGCCATTTTGGGCCAATATTTGAGCCGTTTTGGGGGGGGCGACCGCCCCCACCGCCCCCCCCTGGCTACGCGCCTGGTCGGGTTCAGTGGATCGAGATCAAGTGATCCGACCAAACAAACAGTCAGATAAACGAATCCATTGGATCGAGATCTGTGGATCCGAACAAACCAAACAAATGTGAGCGTAGCCATATTGAAATATCACATGATGAGATGGTGCTCGCTGATTGGTCAGATGAGAATTTGTCATCGTTCCAAGTCGCTTCCTACCCCCACACATGCGATTTGGAAGCGATTTCGGAGCGACGAGTTGCTGAAAATCTTCTGAGATTTCTTGCGACTCGCCGCAAGCGACCAGAATCGCAGTCGCACGTTCCCGCAGACCTAGCGATTTCTCATGCGACTCGGCTGCGATTCTAGAATCGCAGCCGAGTCGCATGAGCTAACAAGTCGCAATTAAGTCTGCACGGGGCTTAACGCATGCGCGCCATCTGTCGACCGAAACGTAGTGCGGTAACTCGCATTGCATTGAAAATAGGGTTCATCGTTAATTTAAATGAGCCTTGAACTGCAAAAACAATATGATGATGACGAGATACAATGTTGATAATTATGTTGCGTTTAGAATGAGCATTCGATGGAAATGTCGTCAAAGGGCAAGACACCGTGGATGACTTATAATGGGCTAGACATCGCAGATTCAGAATTCTGCATTGGCTACCTGACGGAGAAGTTGGGAACTGATATGAGCAAGAACCTCACACCGGAGGAGAAGGCCATTGCACATGCATTCCAGAAGATGACTGAGGAAAACCTCTACTGGTAGGCATATAGTATTTATGCAGACCTGTGGTGATTACTGACCTTGATAATATTATCTCTTTACAACCCAGTGTTTTCGGTCGTGGTCTACGGTCGGATCTCATATGAAGGTAGCTTCGTATCGCGATCTTTCATATATTAATGGCTCTGTATATGACGTTACGTATTCTTGGAGAATTTCGTGTAGATTTATGATGAAAGGTCTGTGATATGATAGGGGCAACTATTACATATATGTGGGAATTCTTGTCTCGGTGTAATTTTCTTTCGATATCCAGTTGCTGGGCTTGCTGTTTTGTTTCTGCTGTGATGTGTGTTAGTGTGCTGATTATCTAACCCCCAAAAATGAGCCACACTGTTTGGCAGGCACATGATTCACCAATATACAATGCAAGTGTATCCCCCTATGTTTGCTTGCTTGATATTTACAGTTAGTTGTGGCTGGTTAGTTCGGGCAGTGATATCACGTATGCCATATAATAGCTGATAATTTCATTTTGTAAATACACACATCACGTATGCCATAGCTGATAATTTGTAAATACACACAGTCACCGTAAATTGTGAGGGTTTAGAAATGGATGAACTATAATACTAAATAGTATAATTTCTATGCTTGTACAGTAGGCCTACTACTTTCCTATTTAGCTGTTCTGTGAGTGGTGTAGCATTCAGTTTCGTTCTGACAATAGTGCCTCGATCATAGTAACATTAATTCAGATATGTAGTACAGCTACATTCACATCAGGGAGGGGGTAGTTCTCCGTATAAAACCATGTGGTTCTTTCACAAATAACACTCCAAGCATGCTACACCAATGTTTTATACATCGCTGACAATCTTGGAGTGAAAGGCATGCTGTAAGTTTTTGACCAAGGCATATACTTATGCCTATATACTTATAGGCATATATGTATAAGCGATCCACTGGCAAACTGATGACATCTCACGTCGTATTCTCATACGTGTGTGTGAGTTCCACACCGGCATGTCTTATATTGGAATGATTGGAATACGCTTTGGATGTGTTGGTCTGCAAGATGTTTCTTATCAAGTCCCTAAAGCGGAAGATATAATTACAGCATTTCACAAAGTGAAAGACCGTGCATAATCGAAGCACTAGCTAGCTATCGTACGCTTATGCTGAAAACAGTTGCGGCTGCACGTTCGTGCGCACGAGGACGGGCATTTCGTGCGGGCGGCCCGGGCAAGAATTTATCGAATGTGGCTGCCCATAAAGTACCGAGTGGATGACATTCCATATCAATAGAAATTGTGCGTCTGGCACTGAAATCCACGATAATGGAACAAAAAGAAAGTAAGAATGGCCTAGAGAAATATGAACAAGTGGGAAGAATGTCCACGTAATGGTGCTACTCTTTGATGGCACATGTACACTTGTCTTCCTTAAAAGCATCAATTGGCTTCACTCATACTCCTAAGTTCCCACGACCCTAAGCCTGGAAGTAATTATTGGTTATTTTGATATGTGAGTAGAATAGCATATGCAATAAGCAGGAAATGCTGACAGGTAAAAAATAATGGAGGTCGTGGTAAGCTATATGCTAGAACAGCGTAGACTATTTCTCGAATCGGGGCAAGTAATTTGTTTTAGAATGCAAGCTTTTCTTAGCTGCTGCATCAGATGGTGCTCATTTGCATGCAAAAGTAATAATGCATACTGAAAAAGAAAAAGAAGATAGCCAAAATAAAATCGACACAGCAGCACGCATCAACAGTAAAAATGTTGACAATGCCTGTTGATGGTCTGCATGGGCGAGAAACGAGTATTTTACGTGGGGGCATTATAAATGCGCCCCGTGACAGTGTATTATTAGGCACGCCAGAATGCAGGAGATACAGTGATTTCAAAGAGTTGTTCACAAATAATTGTGCGGCAGTATACAAGCGCATTCCCAAAACTAAGCATTGGGGTCACGGTGCCGGCCATGGCAAATATCATATTGGAGTCGTTTAACGAAAATAAGCAGTGAGAAACCCCTGAGCAAAGAAATATGCATGTAATAAGTTGACTTTATATTGGGGGCTTCCTTCGATCCGATGCTTAATAAGCAATACCATTGTTGCAGTAGAAAACAAACAGTAGAGATACTAAAAATTACGTTATGCCAAAGCAAAACTGTGTTTAATCGACAGTAAAAGACCCCTCCCTAATGCCTGCGCCCCGCCCACTCCCCCGCGGCCCCCCCTGAAAGCAATTTTATTAGCGCATGCACTAATTATCATGAATCACAGGGCTGCAATCACCCAAGTAAACGGACAAAGCCGTTCACATCTCCCTCGCGCGATATGTTCAAACTTCTTTTTTTGTCCATTCCCCCCCCCCCCCCCCCCCACCTGGGGCTGTGTGCCCCACACCCTGATCCCCATAGTTGCTTTTGCGGATGACAGAGCTCAGTGCTAATGGAAGCGGAACCAGCAGCTTGAAAACGCAGTGTAGGGATGATACTGCGGTACTGAAGTCAGGTCGCCGTGGCGAGGCTATGTAGCAGCATGGTCGCGGCTGTACGAATGCAAAAGCATTATCGTCAATTTTTCATATTATGCAGAGCAGTTATTCATCAATCACAATGCCACTGAGGCACACCATTAATGAGAATGCCCAGTGCAACAACCTGAGATTCCATCAGAATGNGATGTGTCACGGAGGCGATGTTAGAAACTGTCGAATCCTTCACCTGTAACATGTATTGTTTGAACACGAAGGCGAAAGAAGTCAACACACTCCAATATGAAATGTCCTGTTCGAAAAAGGGTGACATAACATCTGGACAACTACCCCCGTGCAAAGATGCCTTAAAAGAGCACACAAACCGTGCTAACTACCAATCCGCCATTTGGAGAAGAAGTCTCCAGAACTCGCCCGAGATTTAAAATCCAACCGGACATGGGTGGAATCTGGATAGAGGCCAACTGGAGATATGCTGGCTTACAGGAGCACCAACATCTGGTGCTGGTGCTTGCATTGATGTTGTGTAAGTGTTCTCGTCGGTGCAACGAGGACTGTCCCTGCGTGCAGAATGGGTTCCNGTACGCACGCACGCACGTCCCCCGAACGCCCGTACGTGCGCACGCACGCACACGCGTACAAATCACAAAGTCGAGTTGTGATTGGTTGAGTCATACAAATACATGTTTCCTAACTCACGTGTGTGAAGCATGATAACCGTGAGGCGCTCGTGATGTGCACTTCGCGACATTATTTCACAAAAAATGTTAAGTAGGGCTACTCCTGGCATGTCCTTTTTGAAAAGCTAGGGACGGGCCTGTATAATTTATTGAGCACATGTTGAGGTCGACGG